TTTCAACAAGTGTCAAAATCCTTTCCTAACACCTAAACCATGGCTATTGGACCTAGGACTATCAATACAATATGTCACACGCACTTAAACAATAGTGGAACAAAATTTCACTCCTCAACCCCTTCTTACTAAAAATAAAAGGGGAGGCAAATTTCCATTGCATTGCACCCAAATTAATCAAAACATGTTCAAATCTTTATTTCTATACTTGTACTAGTATTTTGGCCCTATCAACATATATATCTCAACATACATAAATGCTAGGGCCCAAAATACCAATTAGACATTTGCAACAACAAAATAGTACAATTGTGATGGCATGCAACCTAGAATTGGTATTTATATACTATTACACAAAATAAATCTAAACCAAAGGCATACAATAAGAATGTGCTAATTTCTAGTCTATTAAGCCTTCTCCTTCTTTGCACCAGATCTAGAGCCTAAAAAGTGTTAAATGAAGGGGTGAATCTAGTTACTCAGTAACCAAGATAAAACCAACCCTATGTAGTTATATATCAATTATAAACCAAGCATATACATATTAAACTAAGTAATTAAAACATACTCACACATACCATAACTCATCATTTCTTATTCAATAACTTCTTTATCTTACATATACTATGTGCATTATCACCATATTCTCTTATATATGACATGACCCTTATTCACACAACTAACCACAACTGAACACGTGTGACATGTCATATATTTGTATAAGCAATGATCAACCAACCTTATAATCTCCTTATTTCCTCAGACTGAAATTGTGGGCTATAACATTGAATAGGCTCTGTCCGTGTGACTGGACTACCTAAGATCAACAATTATGAGGTGTGATGCGGCCAAAGGTCACGTAACTCACTCTCGAACCACGGCTTTCTCCATTCTCAAATTTCTAGGGTGTCTCATACACTAGACTATTTTCCTCATTGAATTAGTGGAGAAAGCTAGGTTTAGTCCCTCGACAAACTATGGGATAGTTCCTCGACAAACTGTGGGATAAGGCTATACCCCCGTGCATCAGAGGGCAGCCTAAATACCATATGAATTTTTCTCTACTCCCAATCCCTAGGCGAACTCTCACCCACTAATCATGCCATAAACATACTTACTTATTTTCACATTTTCATTTAGTCAAACTCAATTGGCACGTTGAGCTCACGACCGTATGCTACCTAAGTAAGCGTATATTCTCATTTCCAATTATATTATATAAAACACACCCTTTTCAATCACAATGACTCATCTTCATCAAACCATTATCAGCTGCTCATTTAAAGCACATCATAAACATACAACTCATACCAATTATTACTTTTGCAAATTTAAAACTCATTTGAAATCTCTTTAACATGCTTGACACACATCAAAGTGATTTGATAAATATGAGGTTTTCATTGCATGATGTACTCATTCACAAGTAAAAAATTACATTTTAAACACATAATTAACATTTACATTACAATTAACACATAATTACCTAAAGTAATGTTCCCCTGGTTACCTCAAACCTTTGAGAGGTTAAACATTTGCCCCTCAAACTACTAGCTTTCAATCTTCAATTTCTAATCCAATAGGTAACCAAGAGCCAAAACTACAATCAACCAAGTTGAATTTCATCAACATTACTAACTCAAGCATTAAACGCTCAATCCCCACTTCTAAATTGTTCAATATTCGCTCCACAAGAGTTTGAGCTTATCCCTTAAGTTTATTAATTACTTTTAGTTCTCAATAACATTAATGAACTATTAAATTCCCATTAATGACATCGCAATCTTCTAACCACCCATAATAAATGAAATTTTTAGATACTAATGATGCCCAACAACCCAAGGCACCAAAAGCTCATTATACTAGGTTTAGATACTCTAATATACTCTCATTAACTCCATTTGAGTCAGTGAGTTTGGACCTATAACCTATATAGATCGAAATCATCATCCTCATTCAAACCCTAACTCAAATCCTTAAGAAAATGGAAGAGGAAAGGAGAAAGGGGGTTTAGAAATCTTACCTTGAATGATTGGGGGTTTTAAACCTTCTCAAATCCTTCCCTAGATCATGCCCTAGCGGAGCTTAGTATGTCTCTTCCATTTCCCTCTCCTTTCCTTTTTGTTTTTATCTCATTTTGTGACTAATATTTGCAGAATTTACGTTGTGCACTGTGGTGCATGTCCCTATGCACCACGACATGTGATACAGAGAAGGCAGCTCTCGTTTTGTGGCCCTGTGTGTCGTGATGCACTGCGGCATGTAGCACAAAGGCTTTTTAGTATATTTTTCTGCATTTTTTGATCCTTAAGTGACCCAATTTTACTTTAAATGTAAATTATACTTAAAATTTCAACTAAAAATACTTATTATTCTCCTCTGATCACACACCACATCAACTTACTTAATTATCCTTATTAATTTTAGTAAATCAGGGAATTAAAAACCAGGATGTTATATTTAGCGAATTTACCAACTGTCCTATCATAAACAATTAACACTTCCTATTAATATTTAACAATCTAAACTAGTCACAATAACCAAGCTTAAGCAAAATTTTAAACAATAAACTTCATGTTCACATCAATGACCCAGTAAAAAGCAAAAAAGAAGTTAGGTCACAGATATAATGGCATCATGCATACACATTGCATAAGACATTTAATCAGCTTTAGTCAGATCTTGGTCCTATTTTTATAGGACAAAAGAGAATATAGAAAGCTTAAATTAAAAACTTCTTTATTAACTCCTTTAAGTCATCTCGAGTCATATTTACAAGCTATATATGTTAGTTGAAATTCTATAAAGCTACCATCATTCAAAGATAATTATAACAATTTGTCTTTAAAATAAAAAACATTCTCATGAATTTCCCACCCTGAAAAATTAATCTCCAAATCAAGGGTGACTATCATTGAACCATAAATTAGGATACTTTTCTAAAAAATCATTAAAGTGGACCTTAGCAACATGTTGACCAACTTCTTTCTATACTAGAGTTTTTCAATAAGTAAAATCCAATCACACGCATCATATTGATTTTAGGCATTGTATTTCAAAATTCCTTATGAAAGCATAATTACCTAAAACATAAAAGCACCAATATAAGTGTGTGGAGCAAATACAAGCTTATCAAAAATAGAAGGAGGAGGTGCCACATATGAAATGTAATAGCATTATAGCTTCCATCATCATAGCATTAGTCCCCATGAAATAATTCAAGAGTAAACCACAAATTTAAGGTCAAGACCCATAGAGCCACAAACACAGTCACATAATTACTGAAGTGAGAAGAGGAAAGAGGGAAGAGTGGTAGGGAGTGAACTATAATCAAGTGTGATTAGGGAGACAGGGAGAATGTCGAGACCCATAAACCCATAATGACAAACCCACTGTCGGGAACACCGAGAAGGTTGAAGCTGCTGGAGGTGAAGCAGATTGCACATAAGAATGCTGACTATTGGGCTATAACGAGACTGCAATGGTGAGACGACGACAGAGACATAGTTGAGCCGATACGATAGAGCACAGAGAGAACATGTAAGACTATAGAGGACGACGCATGAAGGAAATGGGGGAAATGAGACCTGTTATTTTTTATTTAAATTAAGGGCAATTTGATCATTTATATTAATTCCTTAATGACAGAAAAAATCTATAAGACTTTATAGAAATTATGCCATTTTAAGAGATCAAAATATTATTTATATAATTTAAAAAAATTTAGTATTCTTTTTCTATTAATTACTAATTTTTATAATTTTATCATGTTTTATTATCAATGCCTATATTTTGTTTTTATATATATTTCAGGTCTCTCTAGTTTTTTCAGTAAACAATGCTAATCCTTTTGTTTTTAAATATTCTGATAAAATATTGATGTGACATTAACTGTTAAATTATTTGACTTTAAACTAATGACACCAATAGAAATGTTTACATTTTTTAAATCATCAGAATGTGTCGACTGTAGCTTTTCCACAAAGACTGTTTGGTGATGGTGTTTGTTGGCGTCGAAAAATAATTTCTCATCATTATAGGTTAAGCCCTTTACTTGCGTGCGTCGAATGCTCTAATCAATTTTTTTAATCAAGTTGAATGGCTTAAATTTTTACATGAAGGGAGTAAAATATTAAAATTGCATGCACAAAAAAAAAGTAAGGGGAAATGATAATTAGATCTAGAATTCTAAATTACTAACAATTAGATCTCCAATAAAATATTTTATAAAATTAATTGTAAGTATCAATTTAAATAGTTACAAATAGAAATTATTGTTATAATTTAAGAGTTATATTTATCTACAATAAAAATTTTTTAATTTATGATTATCTGAATTGAATTTTCAACTAATTTTTGAAAAAAAATTTGTTAAGATTTAACTATTATTAATTCAATATTTTGAATTCTAATTATCATTCTTTCAATATTTAAAAATAGTAGAATATTAAAATTGCATGCAAAAAAAAAAGTAAGAGAGAATGACAGTTAATTCTAGGATTTAAAATTAATAACAGTTTGATATCCGATAAAAAATTTTATAAAATGAATTTTAAGTATAAATTTAAATAGTTATAAATAGAAATTTTTATTACAATTTAAGAGTCACATTTGATACTTAATCCTTATCTATAATAAAAAATTTTGAATTTATAATTATTTAGATTGATATTTTTAACTATTTTTTGAAAAAAATTGATAAAATTTAATTATCATTAATTCAACATTTTAAGTTTTAATTATCATTCTTTCAAAAATTAAGATCTGAAATATCAAAAATAAAGCATGCGAACAGATGAAATGATAAAATTTTATGTTTTCCTGTTACATACTTAAACATTATACATGTCCTTTTTCTTTAATATGGTGCCAACATTTATGCCAACTTTATAATGTACATGTTTTCAATTTCTTGATATTTTCACAATATTTTTTATTTTTGTTTTTTTTTTTCTAAGAACAAATTGTCATTGATCTCAACTTTTAGAAGATAGGTGTCATCCCTGCAATATAAAAAAAAAAAAAAGAGAGAGAGAGAGAGAGTTCCCCGCGGCATTTGTCAGACGTCATACTACGGCGCCAAAAGCGCGCAAGATCTGGGAAGGAAAGCCCTAGCGACTAGCATTGGTTGCCTCTCTGTCACCGAACTCCCTTCGCCACCTCCTCGTTTGTTTTACTTTTTACCAATTTTGCAGATTAAGCATCCGGCCGAGAAACAAAAAATTGCATACGGTACATACTCTATTTTATTTCCACCATTTCGCTCCTTGTTATACTCCGTAACACCCGTATTATATCTGTTGATACTTCCATATAGACCCTGCTGATAAAAAAACCAACCTTTATTTTGCCTTCATCAGGCATTACGAGCTGAGATCGTACGTTCTGTAGATTTCAAGATTCCATTTATTTGTAATTTTTTTGGATTTGTATGCTTGTTTCCCCTTTTGCATTTGTTTATATGAATTTGAGTCCACCGTTATCGTATTGACACCACTGAAATCGGTTGCTTTCGCGATCCATACTTGGTTACAAAATGGGGTTATATGGTTGTAGATTATTCTTGTAAATCCAAAAGATCTCTGCTTTCTCCAATTAAGTGTCTTTTTGCATAGAGCTGGGCATGGAGGAAGATAAGAGGAGGAAGAAAAACAAGAAGAAAAAGACCAAGCAAAGTAAGGCTGTGGTGGATGGTGTAGTTGGAGCTGAGGAGTCGTCAACTAGGGATCAGGATCTGGTAAATAATGGGAAAGATGAGCATAGTCAACTTTCGGAGGATACAGATGAGCAAAGCACAATTATGGATTCAAATAGACGACTGCCAAATGGTAAAGAATGTGTAAGTTTTCCCTATAGTCAATTAAGAATGCTGCAGATTTTGTTTTAAATTCTATGCTCAAGTAATTTATTTTAAATTTAGGCTTATAAAATAATTGATGGAGCACAATGGTGTCATATAATCCATATAGTTGACCCCACTTAGTGGGATAAGGCTTGTTGTTGTTGTTGTTGTTGTTGTTGTTGTTGTTAGGTTTATGAAATAATTTTTTATCTTCTAGCCGTTGTTTTTGCAGCAGATCAATCTAAGTGATATATTGTCTTTCCCATTTTTTTTGTTTGACAACCATCTTATCCTCTCTTGATTCAATTATTGAATCCTGTTTCTATGTGAATACATTATGATTTCAATGTACAATTTGTACAGGGATGCCAAAATATTTGAGTATTGTACTATTGTCTTACTTTTTATGTGCCTAGGAGATGATAGTTCAAATTACAAGATTCTAGATGATTAACTAACTTAAACAATAAATAGTCTGATGATGAACAGCTGCCAATTGCCACTTGATGAGCTATGATCTCCTTCAGAATTCATTTGATAGGTTCTTGAGGCCTCTTTCATATTAGAGTTTAGTGAAGCCAAAATTTTATTTTTAGATCTCTCGCAGGTGTCATGGTTCTTTATTTTTTTCAATTTTCTCTAGGTTTTATATGTTGTTCATTTGATGTTCTCTGGCTCTTGAATGAAGATTATTCTATTCAGGGATCAATTGGTAGACAGACCTTTGAAGATGAATTTAAACATCTAAGAATTCATTGTTGAACTTTTATCGCTATTGTAAACTTAATTGCTTTAAAATTAATCATTAAATTCCTTATACTCTAACAACAACAAACCTTATCCCACTAGGTGGGGTCGGCTACATGGACTGCATGATGTCAATGCGCTCTATCATCAAACAAGTTTTTAGGAATATTGTTAACTAAGAGGTATCATTTAGTAGCTTCCATGAGTGTTCTCTTTGGTCTTTTTCTACTCCTCTTAATGGGGCTCAAGATTATCCATTTCACTTTCTTCACCAGTGCTTCTATGTACATGTCCAAACCATCTTAAAATGTTTAGGCATTTTAAGAGATTTGGCTTGAGATATTTCTTTCAGAAACTTTGTTTCAATACTTTCATTTTTCTTTATAATGTCTGGCTGAGTTGATTGTCTAAAATTTTTCTGAAGGTCTTTATTCAGACTGTTCAAGGGGATGCCAGGAATCAGCAGGAGATTGGAAGAGAAGTGAGTTTGGTGAATCTCACCAATGTCGTCTTTCCCATGTTTATTCAACATTATACTTGATGTCTATGAGCGTTGGTGGACAAGATTGTTTATGCCTAAACTTAATGGCACTGCGTTTTGACAGGCCATCTCAGAAGAAATTGTTAGAAAATTGAGAAATGAAAATGATATGCTCACACAGAAAGAGGTAAAGTGTAAGTTGCTTTTAATGTTTTACTTTGTGCTCACCTGTCAGCATTTTTTTATAGCTTGAAATCCTGCATTCAATCTCTTCACAGGTTATATATGAAGAAACAATTAGAAAATTGAGAGAAGAAAACACTATTTTCATTTACGTTTAACTTAGCCATACGATAGGGATATTTTGTCTTTCGTTTTTGGGCTTGTTGGGTTGTATACTTAATAAGTAGATAGCGTTTATTAGGATGTATCTAATTCCATATTAGGTAGGTTATGGTTGTGTAATTATTAAGATATTATTTTCTTATCAGTCTTCAATGTCTTGCACGTTCTGCTATTTATACAAAGCTCCATGTAGGTTTGAATTCACTGAATTTGATTTCATTCAAGGGTTTCCCTCTCTGTCTTTCTTCATATTTCATAGGGCTCAAATTAAAATTCTGGAATAACACTTATATCTATCGCAGGTCATATCGGAAGAGACAATCAGAAAATTGAAAGAGGAAAATGACGTGCTTATCCAGAAGGAGGTAATCAGAAATTTTAGATGTTTAGATGAGATATCTATCCCTTGTTTACATTATCTTAGGATGGTGTTATGGCAGGTGGCCTATCTTACCCAGGCCTTACTCAAAGAGATAATCAGAAATTTCAAAGAAAAAATGATATGCAGATTAAGCAAGATGTCTTTTAAAAAATTGGAGATATATGCCCCTTGTTTCAGCGTTATCTTGCAAAGTTTTTGTAGCAAAATAGCCTATCTTTCTCCATATCAAATCATTTTTCCATGACAATTAGAAACTTGAAAGAAGAAAAATGACATGCATTTTAAGAAAGAGGTAATATTGTTTGAAATTATTTACTGAATAATTTCTCTGTATTTTTATTGAAAGAACGTTGATACATATGTAGATAAAAAAGGGAGAGAATAAAACTAATTAAATCCCTAAATTATCTCCTAATTAAAGACCAATGATGGTCATACAAAGTGACCTTTGCAAACTTCTAAGAAAGGAAAATTTGCTTTAGCATAAGTGGGCTTTAGGCCCAAAACCATGAGGACCCATAACCAACACTTACCCTCAAGTTGGTGAGTAGATATTGATCATTCCTAGCTTGCTTCTGATGCTTCAAATTGTGAGTTAGTGGTTTGGTCATCACATCCACAATTTATTGTCCTGATGGGATATATGATAGATCGATGACTTTTGTATCCAATTTTTCTTTGATGAAGTGTCAATCAATTTCCACATGCTTAGTACGATTATGATGCACTAGATTATTGGCAATCTTGATTGGAGAGATGTTGTCACACCATGCTTTAATAGGTCCACCGGTATCAACCTTTAGTTTCTTTCGGAGCCTAACAAGCCACATTCCTTCACAAGTCCCTAGGGCGAGTGCCCTATATTCTTACTCAGTAGAGCTTCTTGAAACAACTGATTGGTTCTTACTTCTCCAGGTTACCAAATTGCCCCACACATAAGAGCAATAATTATTAGTGGATCGCCTATCCACATTTGAACTAGCCCAATCAGCATTTGTAAATAGTTCTATTCCTCTAGTGTCACCTTTTGCAAGGAACAATCCCAATCTAGGAGTCTTATTTAGGTACTTGAGAATCTTGTAAACAGCAGCCATGTGCTCCTTTTGAGGATAGTTGGAAAATTGGCTAACTACACTCATAGGAAAACATATTTCAGGTCTGGTGTGAGATAATAAGTCAATTTTCCCACCAACTTTTGGTATCTTTCTTTATTCACTGCAATTCCATCGGATCTAATGGTTAATTTTGATTTAACTTCGCGGGAGTATTTGCAGGCTTCGCTCCCAACGTTCCTGTTTCCTTTAACAGGTCCAGGGTGTACTTTAGCTTTGACACTAATTTCCTTGTGAGTTTGTGCCACTTCCATACCCAAGAAGTATCTTAAGGGTCTGAGGTCTTTGATCTCAAATTTTGTTGCTAAGTTGGTCTTTGGATCATCATTTGTTGTCAAAACTATGTCATCAACATAAACAATGAGAGCTGTTATTTTAGCACCACAATGTTTAACAAATAATGTATCATCCACCTAACATTGTTTGTATCCCCAAGCTTTAATAGCTCGAGTGAATTTGTCAAACTATGCCCTTGGTGACTGTTTTAGTCTATATAGAGATTTGATAAACCTGCAAACTTTGTGAGAATTGTTAGAATTTTGCAATCCCAAGGGGATTTCCATATAAACCTCTTCCTCAATGTCACTAGTGAGGAAAGCATTTTTAACATTAAGTTGGTGAAGAGGCCAATTTAAATTTGCAGCAAGGGATAACAATTTTTACAGAGTTGAGTTTAGCAACAAGGGCAAAAGTTTCTTGATAATCAATGTCATATGTTTGAGTAAAGCCTTGAGCAACTTTACACTCCCATCAGGATTGTATTTTACTGTAAAGACCCATTTACTACTCACAATTGATTTTCCTTTAGATAACTCAGTGATTTCCCATGTTTTATTTTTATGTAGAGACCTTAGTTCCTCTTCTATGGCTGCTTTCCATTTAGGATCAGATATAGCTTCCTCAAAGTTCTTGGGAACGTTTTCTTTTTCAACATTTGCTACAAAAGGCCTTCATATGAGGAGATAGTTTCTGGTATGAAACATACCTGGCAATTGGATGTCTAGTATAGCTTCTCTTCCCCTTTCTCAAGGCAATGGGCCAATGTAATTCTTCAAGACTCTCCTCAGGTGCAGATTTATGGCTTTTCGATGGAATGTAATGGGGACCTTCTATACTTTGGCGTTGCTCAGTGGCATAATTGGGCTCTTCTACCTGAGTCTCAAAGTCAGAGAGCATATTAAGGGTTTCAAAAGAGTTTGTATCTTGAAATCTAGAACAATTTGAAGAAGTTTATGTATTAGGAGATTTTGCTTCAGTAGTATTATGATTGTTCAGGGGCTCAAGAGTTGGATTGTTGTGACTTAGAGAGGTATTTATGGGTAGATCTACCAATAAATGGGGTTCATTTTGTCCAGTATTGGGTGGTTCTTGGACAAACAAATTGACCATTCACTTCTGCCTCCCCCCCAATGGTGGATTTGTGGTGAAAAGGTTGGTGTTCGACAAATTTGACATCCATGGTGACATAAAATTTATTTGTAACAGGGGAATAGCATTTATACCTTTTTTGGGTAGAGGAATAGTCCAGAAAACACACTTGATGGCATGAGAATTCAATTTCCCCCCACCCTGATTATATACAAATGTTGTGCACCCAAAGACTTGTTTGGGAAGGGTTGTAGTAAGATGGGAATTAGGGTAGATCTTGAGAAATTTTTCAAGAGGGGTTTGAAAATTTAGAGTTTTAGAAGGTAAATGATTTATCAAGTAAGCAGTGGTAAGAACAGCTCCCCCCCCCCCCAAACCAAGCATAAGGCCTCGGGCAACTTCAGGTAAGTGTCTATTTTTCCTTTCAAATACACCATTTTGCTGGAGAGAATAAGCACAAGATGTTTGATGGTGTATTCCATGACTTTTCCAAGAAAAAAATTTGAAATTTGACTTCAAATACTGTTATCACTTTGGAGAATTTTAATGGATGATTGAAACTGATTTTGGAAAAAGGCATGAAAATTTTTAAAAATTTTGAAAACCTTAGATTTATCTTTCATTAGAAAAACCCAAGTTATCTATGACCATCAATAAAGGTTACAGACCATTTAGACTTGGAATTTGTTTCAAATTTAGATGGACTCTAAATATCACTATGGATGAGAGAAAAAGGATGAGTGGGAGTATACTCGTTTGAAGGAAAGGAAGTCCGAACTTGTTTTGCAAGATGGCATATATCAGAATGAAAATTTAAGATAGTTTTATTATTGATTTCTGGAAATAGAAATTTCATATATTGAGGACTCTAGTGGCCGAACCTAGAGTGCCACAAAACAATGTTTATACCAGTCATAACTGAGCAGACAGCACAAGTTTTATTTGATGACGGTTCATGGATGTAGTGAAGCCCATTCTACTCTTTAGCGTAGCCAATCATCTTTCCCAAGGTGAAGTCCTATAAATCACAGCTGTTTTTGTCAAACATTACGAGGCAATTTGCTTGAGTCACAATACGGCTCTCAAATAAAAGACTACACTTAATAGCTGGAACAAATAAGGCATTTTTTTAAATAATATGTTAAAAAATAGTTACAGTTCCATAACCCATGATTTTTTTTTTTTTTTTGCGTATTCACCATTAGCTACTTCAACAAATTTATGCTCAGAATATTCACTACAATCAGAAAATAATTCTCTAAACCCTGTTATATGGTCTGTAGCACCAGAATCTACTGTCCAAATATTTTTGGTTTTTGTTATTCTGTCTAGAGCTTTGGTAAGGGTAGTACCTAGTTTTGCCAAGGTTATAGATGGAGTTTTTGCCTCACCTTCATTTGCAGAGGTTGAAGAAGCATGTTTTTCCAGTATTTTTTGAAGCATAGATAACTCCCCAGTACTCAGCGAACCACTTTCAGAGTTAACAGTACTCACCATGAGCCCCTTTCATTCATTCTTAGCCTTAGTTTTTGGATTTGGAGGTCTGCCATGTAACTTCCAGCAATCATCCTTGGCATGACCACCCTTATTATAACAATCACACCATTTTCCAGATTTCTTACCCTTCATATCTCCCTGGCTCCCTCGGGCAGCAAGTGCAGAAGCATCTTTTTTGAGTGAGTTTGGTATTGTGGGGTTGTGGGTCAGTGCTTTCCCGCTCTCCTCACATAGTACCATATTAAAGGTTTCCTCCAAAGTGGGAAGGGGCTTCAAACTCCTGATTCAGCTTAGGACATCTTCAAAAGTATCATTGAGGCCTAGCAAAAAATCACAGCACCTTGCTCGATCAACAGGTTTTTTAAAATAAATTCCATCCCTGTGGTAGGACCCCTCATGGATCTCAGACATCAATTTGCTGCCAGAATTTCATTAGAGTAGTATAGCATTGGATCATAGTTTTGTCATTTTGAAGAAGGCTTCTAAGGGAGTGTTTTACCTGGAAAGTGGTAGTTGTATTTTCTCTAACAGAGTAAGTGTTCTTTGCTGATTTGCAAATCTCCTTGGCAGTGGTTACAAGCAAATAATTCTCCCTTATTTCCACTGTCATGGAGTTTACGAGCCAAGCCATCACCATATTGTTTTCAACAACCCAAACTCCATTCTGAGTGTCATCAGGTGGTGGTGGTGAAGGAATACCCGTGGGGTATTTTCCCTTGTTTCTCCTTCATATAACCATGAGAGTGTTGTGGGACCATTTCAGATATTATTCTCATTTAGTTGATGGGTAACAGTCACTTATGAGAGTGTCTGTTGCTGTCGCAGTAGTCCTTGGGAACATACTCGACCCTTTCGACGCACCGCAATCATTCATGCCGTTTGACCCAGTCTCGTCTATAGTGTTCTTCTTGCTACCGTTGCTGGTCTGGAATGCACGAGGCTGCTGGTTTGTAAGGGCCCCTATGAAAGACATCGCACAAGAAGAAATTGAAAGAGAGGATGAAAGAACTGAGATGCAGGTTTTAGCACCATGAAATTATTTATTGAATAATTTATCTGTATTTTTATTGAAAGAAAGTCGATTCATATATAGATAAAAAGGGGAGGGAATAAAACTAATTAAATAGCTAAATTATCTCCTAAAATAAAGACTAATGATGGTCAGACAAGTGACCGTTGCAGACTTCTAAGAAAGGAAAATTTGGTTTAGCATAAATGGGCTTTAGGCCCAAAACCATGAGGATATCCAACGTTGTTTAATTTTTTCTTTTCCTTTTTGTTTGTTAGCAAGTTTACCTTTTTCTTTTATTCCTGAGAGATGTCTGCTCTCATTTTAAAATTTGTCTTGAAAAATTTTGATGACTTGCGCAGCCCATTCTTGCACAGGCTATATCAGAAGAGACAATCAGAAATTTGAAAGAAGAAAATTTTATGCGCATCCAGAAAGAGGTAATAATAAATTTCTTTTCTGGTTTCAAAGGAGGATCAAAGCCTTGACACTGGGTAATGGGTAGTGGGAAGGGTGGGGGTTCTAATTGTTGATGTGATAAGAATTATGTAAAATATTACTTTAGAAGTAGATAATTAATGGCTTTGTGTTACTTTTAAATTACTTTTTGATTGTCAGTTTCCTTTTCAGCAAGTGGGATTATTTTATAATTTGGTTTTAGCAAGTGGATAGAGGTTTCCTCATGGGAAAGGAAACCTCATGCCTATAAATAGGATACTAAATGTAACTTGGAGGAAGATTTGATAAATGAATTTATTTGAGATATTCTAAATGCACTCTCCCACCAGTCTGCGTTCTGTTCCTCTTACTTCCTCCTCCTCCTTTGTTCTGTTCTTTTTCCCTCTCTTTGTTCTCGTTTCCCCCCCCCCATCTAATTCTCTGTTCTGTTTGATCTCCCATTTCCTTTTCTGTTTGAACTAGTAAGAGAGAGAGTGTGTGTATTGCATCATGATGTCAAATTCACCTCAATTTCAAGAGTGATGCTGGTGTTTTGTGAGCTGTCATGTGTCAACTCATAAATATATGCTTAAAATTTTATGAGAGATGTTTTTGAGCTGTAAAGGTTCACCAGTAATGGTGATTATGATGTCAGGCCATCAGTTCTATCAATTCTTTTCACAGAAGATAATGGAAATTATGCTGGCTAAGAATCCTTTGTGTGATTTTGTTTTTTGGGCGGGGGGTTGTTTATGAACTAGAAATTGACATGGAATAGTGTGCAAGTTTTTTTGTATTGGAAAAAGGGTAAGTCTTCTTAAAAGGATACTTGTCTGCGGGAATCTCTTGTGTTGGTCAAAGTGTTAGAAGTAAAATGGCTAATCCTACCAGCCTGCGCCGTGTTAGTAATTGCCTTGATGACATGCTTTATAATCCTTTCTGAATTGTGTCATTGGAGACTCAAAAGTCTCTGTTTTTCTTGGGCTATATTAAGGCTACCCAATACAAAAAGGATTTTTCAGTCGGTAGAGATAAACTAATTGGTAGCCTCTTCATTGGACTGATCAAGGCTAACTAAAGGAAACGGCACATGAACAAGGGAGGGTAGGATGAGGGTTTCATGTTCTAGTTGCTTTGTAAATAATTTTAATGTCATGTAATTATCTATATAAATTCATTTTTCCCAAATGGTTGCTTAAACTTGTGCAAATATAAAATCTTTCTATATCTTGCTTCATATCTCATGCTTGTGTTGCAACTATATATTTCTTTTACAGGTCATGTTGGAAGAGGCCATCAATAAATTAAGAACTGAAAATGATCTGTTGGCGAAAGAACAGGTAATTAATATGATTTTAACAAGTCTGATGACTATTTATTTTTTGAGGCTTTTATCTACTTCTGGTTCTTACCTTTGTGTCTGATGTTGTATGTTGGGCTACTTTGTATAACTAATTGATAATCTGAAGGATACTCTGAAAACGAGAATTGCACAGTTACAGAGTGAAAATGATTCCTTGCTTCAGATAAAGGTGATGACTTAAGTGGTCCCCCCCTTTCAAAAGGGTTCATGTTCATCAAATTTGAGGAATAATTATCAATTTTTTAATCTCATGCAGGCTGGTTTGGAGGAGAAAACCAACCAGTTATTGAATGATAAATCAGTTTTGAGCCTGAAAGGAGTAATGCCTGATTCTTTCATGCACATCATGCTCACAGTTTTTATTTTTGTCTCTACTGATTGCCTATGTTTTACTCTCTTTTTTATCTGTGCGCTGTTTGAGATTTTTATCTTTTAATAAGAGTTGGATTTGAAAGTCTGATTCCAGTGCTGAATATTCCACAGGAGAGTTTAATGGAAAGAATAAATGACCTGGAAAGAGAGATGGGTTTTTCTTTTGAGAGGAAGGTAATAGCTTTTCTATTGTCCCATGTTTTTATGTATCGGAAATTATTTTTCTCCTTATCAACGTCCTTAATTTTCGTAGGGTAATTGGTTGTTGTGAATTTGAAATGATGCCAGAACCTTCTGTAGGCAGGTGAACTATAATATGCTGTTGTCTAGTGACATCTATATTCTATATATAATTTACACATAAATTTTATATATAATGTAAAATCTATAGAAAGCTGCACAATTTATAAGTTAACTGATGTAGATTGCCTCAAATATTTTAAGATGTACGGACTCATAATCTAGTCAATGGTACTTCTAGCTTTTCTTGAGGCAATAGAAAGAAATGCTTGATCTGTTAATTTGGCTAATCATTTCATTATTCAGTTTCTAGCATTTTCTTAAAGAATTTGTTGTACCTGGCCTTCACAAGAGGGGCATAGCTACAGATTTAGTAAAAAGGTTATGATGTACTTTAAGGGTGATAATGTGAATATGTGGCTATTATGCTAGCCAAAAGAGGGGGGAGAGAGAAGAAAAGAACTACAGTACATGCTTCAAAGATTGTTTGAAATCATGCTTGCAAACTGTTCATATTTCTTCATCATTGATTTTGTGGGGTTTTTTCCCCGTGGTTCCATGCAAGTGTAACAACTCGCTATTATAATTTACTGATAGTCATGCAGCCTAAGAATCAGAACAAAAGAGGTCTAAATTTCTGTTCTAATTCCTTGTAAAATTGTCACTTATTAGAGCTATACCACGTGTTTATCATGCAGAAGTCAACCAAAGAAATTGTTTCCCACCTGAATGATGATATTAGTAGGCTACAATTGCAGGTATGTACCTTGGGTATTTTCATGAAATTACCATGCTTGTATAAATAATAGTTGTACCTATATTAATCACGTGTTCTTATATTATCGAGGCTATTCAGATTTTCCCAAGTCTGGCCATTTTGGTTATTCTTCTAGATCTAAAGATATCTGGTCAGACAGCAAGAAGTGGTATCTCTTATTTGTGTGGCAAGTTATTTGATGCCAGCACTCATCTGTTTGCATGCATTGTCACTGTGGTCTTCCCTCTAGCTTGTTTTAACATACTTGTTGTAGCTATGACTAGAACTTCTTGGATTAGTTTTGTGAGCATAAGAGCTTGTCGTGTCGTGCATGTGGATGAAATTATTGCATTAATTGTTTGTTCGTTTTTTATTCTCAAAGAAGCTTGGCTAATTTATGTAATTATTGACGTCATATTTGTAGTTTGTTTTGGGACCAATGCATTATTATATGCCATAGGCAGAATTCTTTAGGCTATATTATATTTTGCCATATTTCATCAGAGTCAAAATAGCGGTGGTAAAAGGATTTCTCTGTGATATTACTCCCAGTTAGTAGTAAGCATTGCTGCATTGGTTTTACTACTTGCATTCGCTAACAAATTGTTATCTGGCTGGGGCTGTGCCACAAAATACTCGTGTTTGTTCTGATATGGAAATTAAAAACGAAGTTTGGCAGGTGGCAGAGTTGGAAGAGTGCAGGAATAATCTGTCGCTAGAAAACCAGCAACTGAAAGAAAATCTATCAGGTCTTCAGACGAAAATTTGGAATCTTGAGAAGGGTGGCCCTTCCTTCTCATTGGATGCATCTGCGAAGGTTAGCTTCTGGAGGATCTTATTTATAGGCTGAAATTTACAATACTGCCTTGATACTTATTTTTTATTTTTTATTTCCTTTGGCAATGTTTTTCTTAATTTTAAAAGAAGGGAAAGCAAAGGAACATATATAATGCTAACATGGTTTAAGAGTTCTTTAATCTTATTTGTATTTGAGACTCAAATCAATAGAGGCGGACTGAGGACTAGTAGACCATGACTATAAGAAGGTACGCTTGAGTCTTGTGGGCTTTTTATCTCATCCTCTGAGAATGATGGTGGTGGGTGAGATTGACTGAGAAACTGTCAAAGTATGTGAAAGTGTGATTTTTGTAAATGAAGGTGGAAAAAGTCTTCAATGCTTTGCCTATATTGGTTGCTTCTGATCATATTTTACTTTGCTGTGGGGTAGGATTATGCTTCTGAAAATGAGGACTTAAAGTCTCAAGTTGAAGCAGCCCAAATGTTGGTGGAAAAATTGGTTGCAGAAAATGCGGAACTTTTTGAGAAGGTGACAGAGGATAACTATATTTCTATATTATTCATAATATGAACTTCAAATTGGCTGGGTAAGGTTATTTAGGTATTGTTATGCATGCACGTCTTTATTATCAGGTGAACGAGTTATATGTGGAGCGGGATCGACCAAGTGCTGCAGTTGAACTTCCTGGAGCCAGTGGGGCTGATGATGGGTTGGATAAATCTGCTAAACCTAATACTGTGGCCATTACTGTGCCTGAATCTGAAGAGAACGTAACAATGTCAGTCAGAGAGGTGAATCCCTCTGGAGAAGATCCGGTTGGGGATAACATTGACACTGTAAATGCTGGGCATGTTGGTGGGGTGATTTCAAGCTCTTCGTTGGCATCTGAGGACTCGGGGGTAATTGTGCAAATTCCATTGGATGACAATGATGTAAGAAGTCCAGGGTTGCAGGCTGCCCAGAATGTGGAACGGGATGAAGTGCCCCTTACTGATGCTCCGCTTATTGGGGCGCCATTTCGGTTGATGTCATTTGTAGCCAAGTACGTTAGTGGTGCTGACTTGGTTAACCAGGGGCCTCCCAACACTAATCGTTGACCTTTTTTTTTTTTTTTGGTGAGATTGACGTCATATTCTAGTCAGATGATACCATTTGCTCAGCCTAAATTGGGCCATTCCCCAACAGAAAAAGGAAGAGTTAATTCCTTGACATTAGAATATTGAAGCAGTCAAGAAAGAGGGTTCATATCCTTATATTGCATGCGTACCTGTGTTTGTTTGTTTGTTTTTGTTTTTGTTTTGATAAAAAGGGGGCAGATCCCAAATACAAACCAAATTAAACAAAATCAGGAGATTTAAATTCCATACAATCCATCAGCATCAAGTCCCTCAAAAACAAGCCAAGAAGTGTGCCACCATATTTTGTTCGCGCGGAACAAAATTAACGGCTATCCTCCAAATATATTTGAATAAATTTTGGATTTTCAAGAAGATTAAGCTTTCACTAAAATGAAGATAATCATTAATTAAATCTGCCAAGTTTTTGGAGTCATATTCAATAATGATTTTCCTAAATACCATGTCCCAAGCCAATTGAAGACAGCCCGTTGTTCAACTTCAGAAGGGTTACATTGGCCAAGTGTCTTAGAAAAACTGACAATCCAACCACCACCACAGTCCCTAAGAGCTCCTCCACAACTAGCTTTGTTAGAGCTTAAAGAGACAATACCATCAGTATTAAATTTGACCCACCCTTGTGAAGGGGGCATCCATTTAACAGTTGAACTAGTAGCCTCATGTATATTAGATAAAGTATCCTCATTCATCACAAAAAATTTCTAAGTTTAGAGAATATTTGTTGTAGGGTTAAGTGGTTTTTGGAAACGCTGATGAAAGGCAAAACAATTTCACCACTTCCAAAGCTTCCAGATTGTAACTCCCTAAATTAGGCTCCAATTAGAGGAAAGAGAAGATTGCCTTAAGATTGTGCACAATCCAATTTTTGGATCCAAGTTGAAAAAAAATAACATGGTGTATGCTAGGTAACATCTTGCACCAAATCTGACGGGCATAATTACAGTCCCTAACAATATGCATAATATCTTCCTCTTCTAATTCATACCAAGAGCACAGAGGAGAGCATCTTGCAGAAGAATTTTGCCACTTATTTGTGGAGAGTCTATTGTGATAAGAGAGCCAAATGAAGAAACAAATTCACGAATTCGCTCAGTCCCTTTCCATTTCCAGATTAATTTAAAATTAGGATCAAGCAAATTTGGAGGGGGTCTCTCTACCATAAGATAAGCACTCTTAGAAGTGAAGAAACCATTAGAGGTGCCATTCCAGAGCATAATATCACACCTAGCAGCTTGTGAAGGGGTATTGTAGAGCTGAGTTTAGAAAGTACCTCATTAGTCACTATGAAAGATAAAGAGGTGAAGTCCCAAGTTCCAAAGTTTGTCCATTCTACAACTCGGACTTTGTTCCCTCAATAGAGAGTGGTCTAATTGCTATATCCTTGATTTTTTTTTCGTCCTAAAACAGCCACAAACCCTCAAAGAAATTAATGGATTCACCATGTTTGAGTTGCCATCTAGTTCCCTTCTCTATCAAATCTTTGTGTTGACATATAAACTTTCACAAAGGTGAATCCCTTTGGTGCTATTCAGTAAATTCTCCTTAGATCTGACCATATATTCTTTTGTAACAAATCAACCCAAAGACCCTAATTACCAGTAACAACTTGCCAAGCAAGCTTTGTACTACAAGCTTCGTTAACTGAGGAAAGTTTTTTAAAACCAAGGCGTCCATAAGTTTTAGGAAGTGACACCTTACTCCAAGTGATTGGGTGAAAGCCCTTAGAATGGGAGCTTCCCCAAATGAAATTTTTCTGAATTTTCCCTATCTCATTGCATACAGAAACAAGAACTTTTGCTACTTCCATTGGATATAAAGGGATAGCACTTAGGATAGACTTAGCCAGAATAACCTTCCCCCGCAATAGAGAGATAATTTGACTTCTAGCCTGCTAATTTAGCCTTCACCCTATCCATAATATAGCTAAATTTATTTGTTGTCCATGTATCTTCCAAGAAAGGGAAGCCAAGATATCTACCTATCTTTGCAAAAACTTCCATGCCCACTGTTCTTTTGATCTTGCCTTTCATTTCAGCACTAACATTATTTGAGAAAAAGAGTGGAGACTTTGAGAAGTTCACTTTTTCTCCTGAAGTAGAACAGAAATGCTTTAGACAAATCATCATAACAAGAGCTTGTCTCTTCGTAGCCTCACTAAAGAGAAGTAAATCGTCTGTAAATATCAAATGTGATATTGAAGGGCCCTGTTTAGTTACATGAATAGGTTTTCATTGACCAGAATTGATTGCATCATTAATTAGGTGAGAAAGCCTATCCATACACAGTACAAATAAGAAGGGGGGCATTGGGTCCCCTTGCCGAAGACCTCCTTGTGGAGAAAAGAAATCAGAGTGGTTCACATTCCACAAAACATTATATGAGACAGTTTTAATGCAATTCATAATTAAAGAGATAGATTCCAAACTCATACTAGCTTCAAGCAAGACTTGTTTAAGAAAATCCCACCTTATACAATTATACGCCTCTTCAAGATCAATCTTCATGGCGAAGAGACCTGGGCATCTCTTAGTTTTCTTCATGATGTGCATGATTTCCATCCCAATAATTATATTATCTCGAATCTGCTGGCGTAGGACAAAACTAGCCTGAAAAGGAGATATGATTGAATCCATACATCCTTTCAATCACTGGTTGATGATTTTTGCAATACACTTATAATGAACTGTGCAAAGTGAGGTTGGTCTAAAATGGCTAACCAGCTCCAGGTTGTCTCTTTTTGGAAATCAAGGAGATGAGAGTCTTATTAGTTTCTTCCATAGAATTCTTGCCTTGGAAAAATCTGCTATAAAATGATAGAAAGATTCCCCCACAATTTCTCAATTGGTTCTAAAGAAAATTGGCGGAAAACCATCATATCCTGGAGAATCTATAAGGACCCATGGAGAACACCGCCTTCCTAATATCTTCCTTGGGAGGGATGGCAATCAAAATCTTAACAAGAGTCAGATCAATCGCAGGGAAAGAGATTTTTGTATACAAAAGGGGCACTTGAGTATTTTCAACAATGTACAGTTGTTTAAAGGATTGAGAGATGAGTAATTGAAGTTCCTGATCACCTTCTATAAGATGTCCTGCTTCATTTTTTAGAGATAAAACTCTATTCCTCCTTCTTCTCAAAGTTGTTTTAATGTGGTAATATCAAGTGTTTCTATCACCACTATTTATCCATTCAGTTCTAACTTTTTGAAACCACTTTGCTTCTTCCCACTTCAAAATTTCTTCCAACTCATATTGAAGGGCAGTTTTAAGATTACGTAAGAATTTTGAAAAAGGATAAGCAGCGGATTTTTGAATACCATTGAGTTTGGCTAAAATATGTCTTTTCTTAACCTCAACCATACCACAAACTTCCTTATTCCAGAATTGCACTGAGTCACGAAAACGAGACAGTTTTTCCTCAAATTGCTTTCCAGAAATCCCATTATCTTTGAAATTCTCATGGGACATCCACATAGCCTCAAATCAGATGCAACGTTAAGCGAAATGGACAAGGGATTGTGATATGAAAAAGATGTTATGGGCATTACCTTGACAATGCAATTTGGGAAAGAGGATATAAAAGCAGTGTTAGCTAACGCCCGATCTAATGTCTTAAGAAGGCGAGTACATCCAGCAAGACGAACTCCTTTCCTTTTTGAATTTTGATTCTTTAAAACCCAAATCAAGAAGCTTGCAGTCATTTATTCTAGCATTAAACCAGTCAAGGAGAGCCATATTTCATTCCTGCCTCCAATGCTTTCGGAAGGATCTGATATATCATTGAAATCTCTGTAGACAACCTAGGGTTCATAAGTGCTTACAAAAAATCTGATAATCTAGTCTAGAGAAGTTCTCGAAAACCAGAGTGGGGAAGAGCGTACACTGCTGTAACAATGAAACATGCCAAACCATTGATGCAGCAGGGGAGATGTAACAATGACATCATCTAAAATTATGTTTAATATTAAAAACTCTATTATCTGTCCATTAAATTTATTATTTAATTTTTTTAATTAATAATTATGTGATAATGTTAATTGTCACAAATTCTTTATGTGAATAAAATTTAAATATATTATAATAAAAATTATTTTATAATAATTCTCATAAATTTTTTTATTAAATATAAAATAAAAATAAAATTAAATGATATCAATATTTTAAAAGTAATTATAATATTATCTTGTTAAAATAAATAAATTATATAATAATTATATCTTTAAATTACTGAAACAGTTAAATTATACATGTATAAAAGATTATTTAAAATAAAAATTTTATTTAATATATTAAGACTTTTATAATGTATTAATTTATAAATATTGAAAATATATAATTCATGTATTTTATTAAAAACATTAAAATGTTAGGGAGGATGTGTGCCATACAAATTTCCCGTTTTCACCCTTGCTTGCAAAAGTCATCCCTGTAAATTAATGACCTGCCACAGACTTCAGACTCTGGGAGATGGCGAGTTTCAATGAAAAGTCATTTATTCGCACCATTGAAAGTCAGTTTTGGAGTTTCTCTCGGACTAAAACTTTTTCTTCCATACCGAGAAAAATACATCCTTTTTCAAATGCATTATTCATTTCTGCATCACACATCAACATTATTGTTCCAGTGAGTTAAAAAAATAGCGACAAAATATCCATATGGCTACACCTACACTCATCTTGTATTCACACCGCAAAATAATACTTTAGGATTGGCAATGCATACTTATAAAACTAAGGAAGCTCCACTAATCAAGTGATAATCCACACATCACATCTATGTCTTCTCAGGTGCTTTTTCGATTTGATGCTTCCTTGCAAAAATTGTAACCATAGAGAATGAGACACAAGGTCTAAATAACCAAAATTAATATATAATTATGCATGTGATGTAATTAATTATGTAATTGTTAAGTAGGCATACAAGATTATTTTTTAAACATATGTCCTTCAAACAATCCAAACAAAAATAATTATATGATTGCACTTTATATCTCTGCATGTACCTCGTCTGGAACCAAATCACCTGATCAAAGGTGAGTTAGTCCAAACTACTAGTCACTCATTAGGTCCAATGATGACTTATCACATGAGAGGTAATCTCCAAATAAAATTCTCAATATCACATATTTCAAACCAAACTCAATAAGTGCATTTCAATCATTTTCACACAAAAACATGCTTCCTCACCATAGTTATACCAAACATAGTACTTGTATACAATGCATCTCATTTGGCAATTAATTTTTCAAACAAGAATATATTTTTTCTATACATAATATAATTTACATAGCATAATAAAATTACTCAAATACTCCATTACACATTATGTTACCTTTATTTCTTGCTAATAGAGCTCTCCGAACAAATAAACTATCACCTCTAACAGTGTCAGCACACTTTGCAAACAATATGACAATAATTATTGTTAATACAATGCTAATCATAACTAATCAAAGTATTTACATATTAATCACACTCTACTCCCAAGATTATGTTAATTAACCTAATTAACCCAAACACTTCCTTTATACTTAAATCATCATATTAGTTCTCTTCAACCTCAATATATCTCTCAATCACAAATTTAACTTCTCAACACTCAAAATATCACTAATAATCACCTTGTTAGTCTAGGGTTTTCGAATTCTCATTGCCTCAAATACCTTAAAACAACTTACATTACACTTATTTAACCTCAAAACACCCATAAAATTCCAAGCTAAGGGTTGGTTAGCATTAAGAATGTAACCTTACAACACCCTTGAAGATATCTACATTAGGTTAGAGAAGAGGTTATGATGATTACCTTAGGGCTTTCTGAGGCTCAAATCCATGTACAATAATGGCTCCTGACAAAACTCTAACAAAGCAATAAATTTTTGTGCTTCACCCTCACCCAACTCTCCTCGTTTTATCTAATTTTTAAGCTAAAACAATAAGTGTTGATAACACATTACATGCCATGGCATATGTGCACATGCCGTAATATATGGCACAATGTTGAAAAAGCTCACTTAAACCAAATAATTTGGGCTCAAACCAGTCTAATACTTATTTTGAACTCCAAATAACCCTAATACATTATCTTATGCCCAATTTAAACTGTAATTAAGAGTCCAAATAGTTAATACATTCATGAACCTCAATTAACATAAAATCCTCAATTAATTTCTCAAAATATATATTTCTTCAATTAAATCCTCAAATAAACACATTTCCTCAATTAAATCTGTAAGTACCTATATTTTCTCATTTAAAAATAATTCATCAAATTAAATTCTTCCAATTATCCACAACTTTCACAATTAAATCCTTAAATAAAATTTAGGATGTTACACTTCTTCCTTTTCCAATCCTTTTCAATGTCAATTCTAATTTCCAAATTTCGACATTCTTTTTTACTCTGATTTAGAAGCATTCTAGTATTATTACTTTAAATATTTATTTTCAAATGTTTTGGGATCCCATGGTTATTTCTAAAGCTATTCAAAGGCTTGGTTAATTATTGGTAGCCACGGTTGATCCATAATTTAAGTATTGAGTTCTATATGTTTGGTTGATAATGGAAGACATTTCAAATGTAATAAGTTCAGACTATAAAATCCTATGCTGCAGGTTGAGTCTGATGATCAATCTTATTTTATGGTTATTGTTTCAGCTTCAAGGTCTAACTACCTGGATGATACGCCTCATCTTTTTTTTTTTTAATCCTTATTATTTCTTATTCATTAATGGATCATTGTCTTTGCTCACCCTCTGATTAAAATATGTTCCATTCAAAGAATAAGGCGTGAATGGGGTGGCTTGGAGTTCGTGTCAGGGGTCAATATAAAGTATTTGTTGCAACTTGATTTGAATATATGCCAAAATGAATTTTAGTAATCTACTCAGATGTATGTGGTTTCCTCAAAAGGTTGGGTACTTTCCAATGGCATTGTTCAAATGGACTAATTACACGGATGATTGATTTTGTCATAGAAGATAATTATTTGAGTTTATATATTATTCCTATATGTATCTTATACACTTTTTTAAGATTCATTCTGCTTTGAAGTATGCAATGATATCAAAACAGTTATATTGTATTGCAGAAGAGACATGATTCAATGTGTTTTGTTCGGTGAAAATGCCAAGGATGCAAGGACAAAATTTGAAAGCGTGGAAGAGAGGAGGAATCTTACAGTAACTGTTCAATATGCGCTGGTCATGAGGGAAAATAGTTAGTTTTAGCAGCATGTCTATGTCTAATTTAGTCTTCAATCACATACAGGCTTCAATAAAAACGTTATCACTGAACGTATCAGGTGTCTATTCGTTGACCAATTATGCTAGTGCTACAAGAGTCTTTCGGAATTCAGAACGTGAAGAGTTGACCTCTGTTCAGGGAACTTTGTTGGAGTCTCGGAAAAGAAAAACAGAGGATAAATAGTTTGGTCATCATTTTGTTCCTTCATTCAGTGGTTTTACAGGGTTTCCTTTTGGTCTTTAGTTATCATTTTCTACACCTTTGTGATGTATTATTGCATTGGAAATGTTTTTAAATGTTGCCTGCCGAATGGTTAAACAGAACGCTGATGGCATCCTCTTTCTTTTCTAGTTGTTAGATCATTCTTTTGTAATTTACTTTATTTTGTGTTATTAGGTTTAATTACAATATGCTAAAGTTACTTCTCTTTCTTTTGTACAGTGACGTTAATATAATATACTAATGTTAAAAGCATATGCTAATGGTAAGAAACGAAATAATAGAAACATTAGTTAAGGTAATATAATTTTTTGATGATAACCCTTTGACCAGTGCAAATTATTACAGTTTGAAAATGATAAGCTTATCAAGGCTTTTGCAGGTGTTAGAAAATATAGTCAGATCGCAAAGAAAGGAGGGCTTATTAAAATATGTCTTTGGAACTTCAATGTATTAATTATAATAATATAGGGTTAATTTATAAGTGCTGCTTATTGATCTTTGTAATTTTATACTATTATTCATTTTAATTAAAATCTCCCGTGCATCGGGATAGTAAAATTTAGTTCAAAAGTAAAACAATTTCCTTTCTCGCTTTTATGAATTTTATAACCATAGAAAAGAATGACATGTCAAATATTGAAAATAATATAAACTTAAAAGGCAAGTAAAAACATAAATTTTAACACACATAATTATTACTTTACATAAGGATTCCAATATACCATAATGTCAAACTATGCTTACATTTTAATTTGCTTATAGTTTGCAGGAGAATATTGTTTAACTTTCTGTTCCATAAGATCACAACATACTGTCTGAATTGATAAATTTGAAATTACCATAACGACAAGTATAAAGAATTTATTACGTTTAAAATATCGATCGCTTAATATTTAATTCAACACAACAATTTTAATTATGCTACCTCTCTTATTTATAATAACAATCATCATCTTACAATACGAAATTAATTCCCTAATATTTAACAAAACATAACAATTTACGTTTAAGCCCCAAGAGTTCATATCATCCGTGCAACGCACGGCGTTAATTGCCAGTTACCACTATTCTTGAAGATTGTCAGTATTGTTTTTCAACCTTCTATTACAAAACCAAGTGTAAAACTTTAGAAAGCCCACGAATGGGAGACTCTGCGGTCTCATTGTTGGTGGATTATGAAGTAAGCCATTTCTGGGAAAGAAACTCATCACAAAAATTTTTTATACCGTTCGTTGCTGCGCTGAAAATACGGGTAAGAGCAAAGTCGACCCTGGACTAATCTGCAGAAATTATCTGATGCATCCTCATTTATCCTCCACCCTAGACATGTGGAATCTTTTTTGAAAAAATGATAAAGAAGCTTTAAAATGATCAATTAATTTAAGTTAGATTTTAATTGTTAAATTTTAAAAATTTGTAAATTCATCTCTCAATTTTGCAACTGTGTTATGATAAATTTGTAATTTATTTTTCATATCTAACATGATTAAAAAATAAAAAACAATTATTTTTCATGTTAAAATTTAAAATATAAATTACAAATTCATCACAATAAAATTAAAATATTGAATTGTAAATTCTTAACATTTAAAATTTAATTTAAATTAATTAATTTTTTTTTTGTACTTTTCCTGGCCATTCTCCCAACTTTTTTTTAATTGAAAAGGACAGTAAATTAAGTTAGTACAATACATACCAACGCGGGAGGCCGTGATTGGCAAAACGAGATTTAAAAAAAAAAAAAACAAAATGTACTGACACGCTCCTCGACAGAGTGAAAATACGCTGGTTGGGCTGAGTCTAGTTTCGGTGCTCAAAAGTCGTGCTCATCATAAGAAAGAATTTGGGTTATTCAGATTCTAATTTGAATTGTTCAAATTTTTTTAATTTTAATTTTAATTTTATAAAAATAAAATTAAAAAAACAAAATGTACTGACACACTACTCGACAGAGTGAAAATACACTGATTGGGCTGAGTCTAGTCTCGGAGCTCAATAGCCGTGCTCATCATAAGAAAGAATTTGAGTTATCCAAATTTTAATTTAAATGATCCAAATTTTTTTAATTTTAATTTTATAAAAATAAAATTTATAAATTTTTTTAATAAATATATTTATAATCAATTTGAACAGTACTGATTAAATTTAGGTTGTTCAATTTAATGTTATAATTTTCATAAATTAACTATCTAAATGTATTCTAAATAATTAAAATTCAATAGTAAATTTTTTAATAAGTTTAAATTAATCAGTTTATAAAAATTATAATATTAAATTGAATCATTTTGAGTCTTAAATTGAATTAATACTGTCCAGATTGATGATGAATATTTTATTAAAAAAATTATAAATTTTATTTTTATAAAATTAAAATTAAAATTAAAAAAATCTGAACCATCCAAATTAAATCTGGATGGCCCAAATCCTTTCTTATAATGAGCATCGATCTGGATGGCCCAAATCCTTTCTTATGATGAGCATGGTGGTGTTGAGCACTAAAACCGGACTCGATTGGGCTAGGTCTTGCTTGGCACCGTCACAATTACAAATTAGATGAACATGTGCTGTTTTGGAAAAACCTAAGCCGTTTCAAATCCTTCATCAACGATAAAATCTAAAATGCCAAGGATTTCTTCCAGACTAATTTAAACACCAGAAATTGAGGTATGCGATTCTTGAAAACAAAAATACAATAAAATAAGGGGCATTAAATTAAACATAAATGATAGCAAATTCCATAGGTGCGAAGGAGCACCCATTGAATGCTACAACAGACCAAATGGTTCGGGCAGTGACTCAAATCCGTTATCAAATATTGGCCCTTGATCACATATATCATCAGCACTGTGAAGCCAGTTTGTATTCTTCAAGTCTTCTTTAAGCAATATAGTATCATAACGTGTGCTCTCGTAGATGTCCATTTCACTCAATTTTGCTGAGTATCGTCTTTCATTTACCTGACTTCCATTTATCACGTTCCTATCGGCATCATTCCCTGGGTCAAAATTAACCCCATTATTACTGATTTGCAATTGCAGGCTTCCATTCCCGTTTACCGGAGATGGAACACTCAAACCACGAACAGATTGGATCTTGGGAGTAGAAGTTCTAACACTCTGAGGAAAGAGTGTGGGGCTTGAAAGTGAACGAATATTTCCTGAACTGTTCTTTATATCCTAAATAAAAATAAATAAATCAGTAAAAGAATAAAGCTGCCTAAGCATCTCCATGTGCCCCTCCGGCAACCAAATAAAAAGTACAGCTTCAATAGAATGGTGAGACTAACAGTCATCTTACAAGGGCACCAATAAGTAATCTAGGATTCCAAATTTTACTTCAAGAAAATCTTATTCACTAGTCCTGATATTGATATTAGCAATATTGCTACTCTGAAAGGTGCTGATTCATTATTGATCTTGCAGTTCAGTGATAGAAAATCTGTGTTCAAGGCAAAAATTTCAACGATTTTAATGCCTAGATGATCAATACTTTCCAATCTGCTCTCATATCTAAAGAATCAAATGATATCTCTACGATTATGAGAAATAGCTGGAATTGTTGATAAACTACGACCTGTTAATTATTTTGATAACATATCCAGCGATTTGAACTGTACAACAGAAAAGGTAGAGTACATACCATATGCTTAATAGCCACATCTAAGGATTTCTTTGAGATGGTCCTACCAAATCCAGAGCTGTCAGATGAAGTAGTAGATGAAGCCTTAACAGATTTCCGTGCAACTGCTTCAGGGGCATGTGGGACTTTCCGCACCTCAGGGGCATCAGAATGGTGACCATTGACATTCACAAGGCTGCGGCTTCTTCCCATAGCTTCTGTCAATCTCCCCCTGGTTACTATGGGAGATGACAGTCGCTTTGGCATATTAACAGGGATTTGGGATTCAGAATTTCCCTTTAAAGTGGCCACAACACCAGGACGGGACCTACCAGCGGAGACTGGCCTCTCCGGCATTGTTGTTCTGAGGTTTGGTGGTGTTTCAAGAGGAAAATCAGGTGGAACTACTGGCTGGGGAGGGGGACGAGCTCGAGGACTTGGTGAACTTGGCCGTGATGGTGGTGCTGAACTGCGTCCATTTAATGAAATTCGTCCTGATGAAGTTGAAGTACCTGTCATAGGAGATGGAGATGGTGCTGAATTGCGACGAGTGGGGGTGGAAGGACGGGAAAGCGGCCTAGCAGATGGAACAGATGGGGAATGCAAATTAGCAGGAAAATGTGGCCTTGAAGAAGGAGTGGAGGGCCTCAAGCTCTGTGAAGCTTTACTCTTGTCAGCAATTGAGCTAGTGCTTGTTGTGCGCACTTTGGATGGAGTTGAAGATCCTAATGTTGTGGGACGGGATGAGGGAGTAGAAGGCCTTGTGGCTGATGAAGAGCGGGGTATGGGGGAAGATGGTCTGGTGGAAGATGAAACTGAGGCTGAGCTTGTGTTAAGGATTGAGGAGGATCTGTTTGAAGAATAGCCACTGTAGCTATACTGTGAACTGGAGTTGGAAGGACGAGTCACAGAACTGCTTCTTGCTGGTCTTGAGTGACCATTGTTCTCTGATTGTGAAACTGAGAGCTGAAAGATACACATCAAAATAAAAATTTAATAAACATATTTAAAAGCTATAGAATTAAAACAAGAATATACAGTTGATAAGATTAAAAGAGGAGACATGCTGGAATCCCAGGACCACCTGTTTCTTCACAAGAGAATTTCCTGTGCAAAAAAACTGCCAAAGTTGGGACTATTATACTTTATTTCACTCCAAGTTCCAAACCATTACTAAGAATTTCCTAAGAAACAAGTTGCTACTGTACGTTGAAGTAATATTAAATTTGACAATTACTGACAAATCTCCCAAGAAAAAAAAAAAGTTTTAGCTTGAATTATGTTCTGCAGTTGCAGCCTTTCACAATTACTTAATTTAAACATATTTCTGTATGATTACTTAGGCTGAATGATGGACCCTGAAATTTTTAGTATGTGGGGGCAATATACGTATACATTTATTTAATGGGGGCATTAGAACTAATATTGTTAAATGTTGGGGATCATTAATGTATACTGTACATATAAAATTAAGCAAAATGGAAATTTTCTTGTTGGGGAACTTGCCCCAAGACCTCAACGTAGGTTTGTCATTGCTTAGGCTTCATACTTACACTTTTTAAATAAATAGAAGTGCATGTATGCAAGTTCATGTCTAGTTAAGCAGATAGTTCTGATTCAGTGACATTGTCTAATTCAGAGATGAAACAGTATACTTAAGTTATAGTTGATTTTTGTAAGATTTGAATGGCCATGGTGGACTGCTGTTGACCCAGTCAGAGGGAAAGGATGATTGTCAAAGGCATAACAGATTCAACACTTATAGTAAACAAATTGGACAGAGAAGCTCAACTTCGGAAACACAACATCAAATAACAAATACAAAATCATCATGCAATTATTAGAGGACCACATACCCTTGAAGCCTTCGTGGTAGAAGTTGATCTAGCCAAACTGCGTCTTGGAGGTGCTAAGGTAGGCTGGGATTCACCTTCTGATGAGGGACAAGCAGGAGTCCCGGGAGGAGTGAGAAGCCTAATAAAATTCAACTATGATATTTTGAAACCAGACACATCTGATAATGTATGCATGCATTGTTGCCAATAGTATGAATTTTGAAAAACTTGGATCATGACTTAAACGAGGTACAAGTTGCTACTTCGTCGATTATGAGGTTAAATAAATATGGAGGCTCATATACAAAATACCAATCAGTATTTTAGGTCAACTGCATTCAAAGCCACCTCTTTCATTGCGTGTGTGACATGTATTTTAGATTGTCTCTATTTGAGAATTCAACTACATTCAAAGCCACCTCTTTCATCCACCAAATCACTCCATTGCTTGTGTGACATGTCCCTACGGATGGCTGAAGGGAGAATTGGCATTCACAATGCACCATCTTGTGTAATCAAAATGAAGTGATTTGATTGCAGAAGAAAGCAAATTCGTGTGGTCCAAACCACCATTTTACTTTTGTCAATGGCATAGTGTCATATAAGCAACAAAGCAATGAGATGCATGGGCATGCCTGAGATGGCTTAGAATGCAACTGATGCAATCCGATGCTCAAATAGAGAGTATCCATTTTATAAGTGGACTTTGCATTAGAGTATGGTAAATAGTGTATTTATTTGTTGCTTTTATTAATGCATACAGTATGTATTGAGGTCCATTCGGAATCCAGCTTTGAGAAAAAAGAATTTTCCTGCATTGAATTCTAGATACATGGCTTCCCATCGAGGAAAAGTCTACTAAAAATAGATAAACATGTCACCATTTCTCCTGAACGTGTATTCATTCAGTTTATTACTACTTTCTCTCCCACTAATTATAAAAAATTGTCTGCCATGACAATAGCCGAAACCCTTGCCAACTGATAAATCAGTATATCTTATAAACTGATATGCATGCAAGCGTCATTGAGATTGAGATTTACCAGTCATAATCATGCTTTCCTCCTTCCGTGGATGATAACAGATCATCAATCCCACTTCTAGCCAGTTTTGCTGATCCAACTGAGAGTCTCCCCAGTTTCACTGAAACTGCATCGAAACGGGCAGCGGTAAGTGTAAGGCTACATTACGGATTACGTCCAACCGATAAATACAGACACGGGTACAAGTGCTTGCAGCCTTGCACAAACCATGGTCCATTTCCAAGAGCAATGGACGAAGGCATTTCAGGCTAGAGTACTTGTAAGACACCGTGGAAAGCATTTATTGTAAAATAACTCACCCATAGTGACTCATTCAATCCAATTAAATTAAAGTTCTGTATAACAAACTGGCAACATTTTATAACGTAGACTCTATAAAAAAATTGTGGTAATTACATATCTTGGACATTAATAAACAACAAATGATGCGTTCCACCAGAAATCTAATATTAGCCAGTAGATATCGTTATCATTCCCGCATCACTTTGTCACAAAACGAAGTAAACAGCAAGTGTTTTTGAAGCATACAAACAAACTGAAAGAAAATCCAAAAAAGAAATCCCGGAACGCAGTCCCAAAATATGAAACGTCTGGAATGACATAAGTGTCCTCGGTGCAGAACAAAAATGACATCATAGAAAAGATGAAATACGCAAATCATTGAGGGGCATTTCAGTCCATCAATGCTAAAAAGGAGATCAAAGAAACAGGAATGAGGCGGAGCCGATGCGGGTAACGATGGTGGCGTACCATCGGAAGATTCATCAGAAGAAGCAACTGAAAGAGTACGACGACTCTTAGAGAAGAGGTCGAGATGGTCGTCTCGTTCCTTGGAGATTCCGTTTAAGCTTTGACCACGGCGATGATGCTGCTGCAACGATCCGACTGGAAAATTCCTAGCTCCGAGAAGAGAATCGCGCGCATTCCGGCCACTCATGGTAACTAGAGTGCAGCAGAGAACACCGGAATGTGTTGTCTCCAATGAGGGAGAGATCTAGTAACAGGAGTAGTAGATGAGGAAGCGATAGAGTGAATGAGGCATTTAGAAATGAGTTTTCTAAGGAGAAGGGGAGATTAGATCTGAGGTTGGCTGTTTTGTTTATGGAAGCAACATTGAAATTATTAAACTGAAATTACACATTGGTAGTTTCTTCCTCACGTTCTCTCGTACCATGATCCCATTTCTATTGGTGCTAGCTAGCTAGCTTGGATGAATCAGGTAATCATACAGATGCCCACATGGCTACTTCTTTGTGGGCCACGTTTGCACCCTTACTTTTGATTCCCGAAAACTTTGACGCCATCATTCTCACTGCTGCTTATTTCCCATGTCACATGGGAGCTTCTTACACCATTTAATTTTCCTGTCTGATTAGTTAATATTAAATATTAATTAATATATTTATAAAACTTGTAAAAAAATTATACTATTGGTCTCAAATAACAAAGTATTGCGATCTATGGCTGTGCAGGTGGTTCGGCATTCGGTGTCTATGGGTTGGACATCTTTATTTTTTTTATTATTATAGATATTTTTTATGATTTTATTTTTATATATTTCCAGAATTTAAATTAATTTCTTTAAACTTAGTAACATATAAAAATAATGAGGATATATTATCATAGATAAAAATAATAACTTAGTAACATATGTATTTAAAAATATTATTTTTCATCACAACACTAGTTTTATATGAATTTTTTAAATGAAGATAATCATATTTTTTTACTCTTTTCTTTTATAAAATATAATCTTTTATTACTGTTTGCTCTACAATGAAAACAACAGTAATATTTTTTCTTTTCAAAAAAACGTCAATAAGGCTGAGATGTCCCTGTACATCGTAAGGGGCAAACTCTAGTTTTTTTTTTTTATATATATATATATATATATAACATTTTAGATCTTTTAAAGAATAATTAATGAGATTTTTTTAAAATATTATTAATTAGGGGTATAATTAATAAGAATTTTTAATTGATACATTTTATTCACTACAGATAAATATGAAAAGAATATGTAATTTTTAAAATAATTAAATAACTCATTGGAATATAATTCAGTTAAAAAATATTTTATAATATTAAATGAAGAGAGCAAAGATAGAAGAATTTTTTATTGTTTTTATTTATTTATATTTTTTTTCAAATTGATCTAAACTCGATCCAAAAAATCTTCTGATAAACATTTAACGATATTGCTATGCTGTTCTTATTAAAAAAAAAAAAAGTTGTTCTGCATGTGCGTTTAATTTCAAAAGAATGTAGTGATGGTATCACTGAACTTTAAACAAAAACGCAACATATAAATGGGGTATTTTTGAGACTATAAATTTTATTGACAATAAATTGCGTGAAACTTTTGCTTCTACACAAGTTGCATATCCGTCATAGATTGCCTTTTATCCAAAGACATAAAAAACTTTTGGTTATGGAAAGGTAGTGAAGAAGGAGAAGAAACTTGAATGGCTTGAATTTGAGGCATTTGATGATATCATTGTCAAATACAAAAGGACCCGCTTGAAATATAAATTATTAGTGGGTCAAATTAATTAATATGCTTAAGCGGATAGGTAATAAACAGATGGCGTGGGCCATCACCCACAAAAGGTCAAGCATCCCCAACCCTCCCAACCACTGGAAGATTATTCTCGTGATTATGAAATAATAATTAGAAATGAATTTAAAAGCTTGAACATTCAGTTAGGGGCAAGCGGAGAATGAAATACAAGGGCAGCGCGTTGCTTCCTGCAGTATGATTTTTAAGGTGGATTTGCTAGAGACGTTGCAACCACCATTAGCCAAAAGGGCACTACCTAATTTCCCTTTCTGGCGTATTAAGACATGGGTGAATTTACGATTGTATTAGAGAGAGAGAGAGAGAGAGAGCGGGACAGATGGCTGAAAATGGCTGGCGAGTGAGAGCATGAAACAAGAAATTATGAGTAGGTGGGGCCGGGATTGAATGGCCTAACTAGTAACAAGGAAGTGAGCACCAGACACATGCGTTGGATCCGCAGATCTGCAGGTGTTAGAAGATATGGACTGGATAGAGATACCGGTAGCCAATATCCATATTCTGAGCAACCCAGGGTACAAATAAAATACTTATATTTTGATCTTTTAATTCCACGTACCATTTTTTGTTTCTTAAATAAATATAGGAAACAACTTGAAATATAGTAACATCAAGTTTCAAGTTATTTGATCTATTTTTTTAATTAAGAAAGAAGTTAAATTTTTGTTATATATATGTTTTCTTTTGAAAAAACATATCTTTCTATCTCATACTTTGCACACAATTTGTCAATGGTTCTTACTCTTTATTTTCAGTGTTTTAAGTCCTTACAATTTTTTTTTGTATGCGCTTTAAATTCCTACATTTTTAGAGAGTTGCTGATGTGGCATTAACGATATTAATTATGCTGATGTGAATAATAACATTTTTAATTATATAGTGACGTGTCAATTAGTGACTGATGTGTATTTTTTCTAAAAGAAAAAAGAATAGCTTATGTGTATTTTTTAACAATTGTTATATATATATATATATATATATATAAGCAGGGTTTAAGGACATGAAAAAATGTCATAGATTCATTTTTAGGTTTGTTATAATTCTATCCTTCAGGGTGCCTTTCATGTGATTCTATGCTCTAAAGTCAAGTTTGGAGTTGGATTCGAAATAATTTATTATTTTTTAATATATATAAAATATATTATTTAGGTTTGGAGTTAACACAAATTTTTTCATTTTTCGATTATTAAAAAAAATACTCTCTCAAGTCTTATTTACAGGATATATTTTAAGAAAAATTTTAATTCAAAATATAAAACACTTTGTAATAGGTAAATTATTTTTTTTAAATTTTACATTTTCTTGATTAACCTGAAAGCATTTAATATAGTTGTATTATTATTTAAAGCCAATGTTAAAAATAAAAGTACATATAATTTTTTTATAATATTAAAAAAATTAACTTTTTTAAAATACGTGTAATGGTTAAAAGTGTTTTATAATAAGGATCATAATGAGCATACACAAGCTTTTCTTTCTTTTTTCTCCTAAAAAAAATATAATCAGCCACTAATTAAAAATTCATCATATAATTAACTGTGTTATTATCTACATCAATATAATTAATATTGTTAATACTATGTCAGCACTTCTCTAAAAATATAATGACTTAAAGTGCAGGTGAAAAAAACTATAAAGATTTAAAAAATACAAAAAAAAATAAGGATATTATTGCATATAAAGTATAAGGATTAAAAGTCCTCTTTTCATGGGCGTAATTTTTTTTTTTTTTAATAATAGAACGCTTAACGCCACGCAAACCTCCCTTCTAGGATGCTGTATGTTTGTCCACGATACAAACATTCGTTGCGCTCCGAAGCGAGGGTGTCGTTTCAACGATGCTGGGGAAAAAAAAAAAACAATATCGCATGTGCTTCCAAACAAAGTGGTCCAGACTCTAGAGATACAATTGAACCGTCCTCCAAATTGAGCAAAATTCAATTCACGAGTCACATTTTTTTTTTTACTTTTATATATACTCGTATGTCGTTTGTTTTGTATATCAAGTTTGAACAGATTTTTTTTTAAAAAAATAAGGGACAACCCTCTTAAATATAGTTCTTTCTCTCTATTTGAGGCTACAGCGTTGTTTTGTTTCTTAGAACGGCACGGCCAACAAAATACATGTACTTTGGGAAATGTGTAGAAATAAGTAGAATAGCAGGAACTATCCGTGGCTTGACATGCAAGCAAATTTTGTAATGCTGCAATTTTACCCTATCCACAACATTAGCATTGATTTTTAAAATATTTATTAAAAATAATAAATATGATATCTCTACAACGTCAGAAAAACTTCCTCTTATCCTTTATTTTTTTCTCTTATTATTTTAACTATTTTTTAATTTATTTCTGAATTTTCTCTCTCATGGTCACATCTATTATTATACTAATTTTTAAAATATTTTAAAAATAATAAGCATGATATCTAAAATTGTCATGATAACTTCCTCTTATCCTTAGTTTCCCTCTTATTATCTTAATCTTTTTTTAATTTATTCATGAATTTTCACTCCCATAATCACATCTATTATCCCATTAAAACTTCCCTCCCCTTAAAAATTAATAAAATGCTTTCAATCCCTCAACTATCCCAATTTATTCTCGAAAATTTCTCCACTAACTCAAAACTAATTATCTCTTTGGTCTAGATATTTTTCCCAAATTATCACGAGCATATATGAACAAATTTAAAACTTATGAGATTCTAAATTAATTTAAAATTTATAAAACTAAACATTAATAACTTTCCTAAAATATATTTAATTACTTACATGAATTCACGATCTGATTATGAATCATAAATTAATTTTTTATTCTCATAACTATCGCCTTGCCATAACTTCCCTCATGATTTGATATTGTGACATTTAGTTCTCCCTCTAGCTCTAAACATTAATGGATAATGCTACTTTTAGTCTTTTACATATATATATATATATATATATATGAGTTATCAATTTGATTCCTCATATTTAATTTTTATCAATTCAGTCCTCTATGTTTCATAAAAATATCAAAATTGTCCTTAATCTTTGAAGAGAAATTAACACCATTAAATTACCATGACATGGCTAACAGCATTATGATATAGCAGCCACATAAGTTAGTACAAAGAGAAATATAATGTTGACATGGATAAAGCAAAATATAAGAAAAGAAAACATATCAAAAATGAAGAAATTACATTATCCAAATGAAATGGCAACACCCTCCCTTTCCCAGTTAAATTGTCCTCCCATTTGGATTCATATTCCTTCTTTGTCTAGTCCTTTGAATTTCAGCCATTCCCCATCATCTCTTTCAAATTTTGATTGCCCTCTATCTTCTTCCTCTTGTCCCCCCTCTCTCTCTCTCTTGCCATCATTAGAGTTTGTTACACATTGGCTTGTTAGATTATTCCATCCATCTCTCCTCATTGCTTTACGATCAGGCTTCAATTCGTCATCGTGCTTCACTATTTTATACGATCATTGTAATATCCTCAAAATTTAAAACCTAATTAACTAAGCATGATTGAAGTAATTAAATTTGTTAGTAAGGTGTGTGACTAGAGAGGTCTAATAAGCGTGTTTGATTATAATTTCAACTCTAAATGTGAGCCTCAAGTGAAGTCAA